GCTTGATAAGAACACATTGAGCTGCCGAGGATACATCAGAGGTTCTAGGATATCCTACCTCTGTACTTGAACTCACTATCAACAAAATTGTCAGTATATCAGCAATCGGAATTCAGACCCTAGGGGATCAACATGAGCTCATGCTACTAGCATGATGCTAGTGCGTGAGCGAGTACACCCACCGCTGTCAGTCTGGCGCGGCTTGCCCGCCTTCGCTCGTCTGTCTCGAACGCTCAGATAGCTCTGGTGCACTCCAGATAGGTTTCATATTTGGGTGTATCGTCGATGCTCTCGTGATGTTGGGGCGCAACGTATCCTTCAACGCAACTCGGGCAGATAAACACTTATACACTCGTTATCAAGGCATCCTGCAGTGGCCAGGATTGTATTAAGATGCACTCCGGGACATTACAAAGCTTCATTAACCTAAATCGGCTACACAATCGGACTGAGAGTAGTCTCGGAATCGGTCGTCTCCACAGTAGTAGCAGCGACCTCATCGGTCACAGCAGCTGTGCTGACCGATAGAGGGGACGTGATAGTAGTAGGCTCAACAGGAGCATCGATCGTAGTCGTGACAGTCGCAGCCTCCGTAGCGACCTGGGTGGTAGCATCAGAATCATCCTTGTCTCTACCGGGAGCTTCCCAAGCTGCCGTGCTGATAGTCACTTCGCCAGTCACAGAAGCTGCAGTAGTGACATCAACCTCATCGGTCACAGCGGATGTACTGACCGGTAGAGGGGACGTGATAGTAGTAGGCTCAACAGGAGCATCGATCGTAGTCGTGACAGTCCCAGCCTCCGTAGCGACCTGGGTGGTAGCATCAGAATCCTCCTTGTCTCTACCGGGAGCTTCCCCAGCTGCCGTGCTGATGGCCACCTCGCCAGTCACAGGAGCTGCAGTAGTGACAGCAACCACATCGGTCACAGCAGCTGTGCTGACCGATAGAGGGGACGTGATAGTAGTAGGCTCAACAGGAGCATCGATCGTAGTCGAGGCGATGACAGTTGCCGTTTCAGTAGCGACCTGGGTGGTAGCATCAGAATCATCTTTGTCTCTGCTGGGAGCTTCCCCAGCTGCCGTGGTAATGGCCACCTCGCCAGTCACAGGAGCTGCAGTGGTAGCACCAACCTCATCGGTCACAGCAGCTGTGCTGACCGGCAGAGGGGACGTTATAGTAGTAGGCTCAACAGGA